CCTGAAACCGACTACGCGAAATATGAGCTGGAACAGCATGGGGCCCTCCATAGCATGGCAGGCGTTATTGGGAATGTGCATTCACAGTAAATTCCGCCTATACATAATAAGTTAGACACTCAGACGCAGGTTAGCCACCTGCACCCGATTCTGTCTCCGGTCTTATTGACTGTGTCATTACACCGTGCTCAATAGAATTAGGAAAGAGGAAGTTCGGTAGATGCGGTGCAAGTATTTCATCCCTATTAAGGTATAAGTCGCCATACCTGCGCTCACTCAGATGTGGCACACAGGGCACACGTAGTCAGAATCGACGGTCGAAGAACGTCTACGTTTACAGAATCGCAAAGAGGGGACTGTTTCTCCGCTGAAATTGGAGCAGTCCAAATAAGCCGAGCCCTCCGTCCGGAATTAGCTCTCGGTATGCCTCGACTTACCTGTAGGCAGGAAAATACCTCACACTATCATCTTGCATGCACTTTTGTGTCTATCGATATCTAAGGTTTGCTGTATTTATTAAGGGTAGATGCCGTTATTACGGTTCCTCCACTTTTAAGTGTATCTCAGTACCTAATGTGTTTGAATTCTTTTTACACAATCTTCTGACCTGCCACGAGTTTTTATTTACTATTGCTATATCATATATTCCACGTTTCCATATACAATTTCTTTTGCTCGTCGTGTACTTGCGCTAGTTATCACGTTCTTTTTTTATTTCTTGTGGTTTTGGGGCACTGTAACTATTTTCGCCTTGCTTCGATGCCTAGCCTCTAATCTTCATCACTCTAGGCTTGTGCTAATCTTTCCAATACTGAACTTGTGTGGAATGGCCTAAAGAACCCTTGAAAAACAGTATTCTATTATTCCGAAGTGTGTGGCCTTGATGCCATAAACTGACATGAATGACATTAAAATGCGCTATTTATTTTTCTGAAACTACCCAACCATTGGTTAAGTATAAAGCCCCTTTTGTGCGTGAAATTTTTGTGTATCCTAAGTTAATTTGATTGGTGCCTGGTAATTTATTATGTCATCGCCGTCGGTGGCACTCACCGCGAAGAAAATTTAACCTAATTCACCGTTCAATCCGTAGCACTCAATGCTGTTCAATCAGACGATAGGCTGTCAACAAGCGTTGTCTTATTCGTGCATTTTTCGTGAAATCCCAACTTTCTTTTGAGGTTTGATTTCACATCCACCCTCACGAACACCACGTCCATTTACCCAATGGTTCTGATGGGGTATATTACTTTGCCAAACTTCAGAACTGCTTTCGCGATCGTAGGTGTCTTTGCTCGTTGGTAAACTTCCATGATTCTATCGTGGATCGGCATTGTAATCTACATTAATCTCCTAAAATTCATATGAATGATAGGGGTCTGTGCGACTTTTGTCGCTGCCAGGTTCTGTTAAAATGTCTGTTTAATTGCAGGGTAAACTTGATTCTTAACAGACAATCTCCGTGCCACATTAGTCTGTGGTTCATTTTTTTCGGATCTTCTTTAAGCTATTAACGATCCAGCGCTGGGCGGCTCGTTTGAATAAAACCAGTCCGTCGTGTTCCAGATAAGCGTGAATACTACTATGGACTTGAAAAGAAACTGGAAAACTATGATCGTCTCGAATCTTTTCCGGCTCGGTTACTACAGCCAGCGGAGTTTTTTGTGCCAATAGATGGCTTCCGGCAACTTGCATCAAAATTTTCACCAGAGCTAGAGGTCAAAGATTTAACTGAGAATCGCCCAATTCTGGTGCGCGCTGCCTTCATCAAATTCTTTGGAATCAGCACGAGGTCAATCTGAAGATCGCATTGCAAGTATGCGAAGCTTCAGTCAAAAATTTCCGTCAGTGTTCAGAAAATATCAACCGCCTGGACGTATTTTGTCTCTAGTGATTGTGCTTAAACCTTCGAATTCTTCTCTTTGACTGTATCTTCACCTCCGCGGCCACCTGCGAACGAAATTAGTGAAGTACACACTCCTTTATCGCTGTTAATATCACTTGGTTGTTTGCTGCGCGAAATTGAAATAACGCGGCTGTAACCCTGCCTGAACCCAATTTTGTTCGGGGGGGGGTGGCGTGGAACTGACCAAATGTATATTTGGATATATAATAAAAACCAAACTCAAATGCATTACTTACTCCTACGGTCCTTGGGTTGGCATTCCACTTGACACCCTTCGTTTGGAAATCTGCCGTCGTCATGAAAGGCAGTCATTCGCGGAGCCCGTCTATTCGGCTGTTATGCATTATCTTTCAAGTAATACTAACATAAACCATTATATGTGGTATTCACGGCTAATTGTGTCTCCATGTTTTCCATATTGTGAGCCAGTTGTATTATGTGACGTA